TTTTGACCTTTTGATATAGAGTTTGTAACCTTAGTAACGAGAGACAGTGCAGCGAAGGGTTACCTCAGCGAACTGTTTGAGAAAAACGAGTCGATTGGTAGCCTTTCCCTTGTTTTTATTTATAACCGTTGATATTTGTGACTTTATAATCATTGTATTTAGACTTATAATCAGTTTATTAATTAGTGTGTTTTACTCTTTTGATTTATACCTATTTCTTAGTATTGTATTTAACCCATATGACGACGAGTAGAGGACAGTATCTATGATTTATGAACGGTTATTCCGGGAGGCATAGCTCAGGTTGAGTGAAGGGATGTATGATGAAATTGTTTTCGCGTATCTGTTAATCGACTTAATTAGCTGATTGTTAGCTGAATGGCTGTGTTATGTCTGACATCGTTTAGGCAGGCGAAGTTTTGGACGGAACTTGGTTCAGTGATTTGGAACTAATTACGAGATAACCGTCGCTATTCGGACTACTCTTTCTGACAGTTGATATTCGTAGTTATTAATGTAGTGAATGATTAATCAAAAGATATGACGTATTTAGTACTTAGTGTGATTGGCTTTATGATTGGAGGTTACCCCCTAGAGTCTTTTTTTCTGTTTTGTAGTTGGTTAGAGTTTTGAAAATGAATAAAGTTGTTTTAGTTGGTCTTGGCGAGTACAGCACGAGAGACGAGTCCAGTCCTAGAGAGTCTTGGGGCGAGGCTTAAGGCAGTCCAGTCTTGGGCTAGTCTTGGGTCAGCCTTGTGATAGTCTTGGGGACTTTTCCCCAGGGTGCTGTGTCTTATAGAGTGCTCGAAAGACCGACTAAGACAAGAGTTGAAACGTATTTTGTTGTGTGTGTCTTATTTGACTATAAAGCTTAAGTGACTTCCCCGATCCCATACCTCGAGGGGACGCGATATAGGGACGAGACGAGATTCCCCCCTGGCACGTGTTGAGAAATCCGAAGAGAAGATTTCCCCCTGATAGCTAAGTCCAAATTGTGTGGGACGATATCGACGAA